TCCCATTGGAGGATAACCTTTTTATTTGCTGCTGGTCAGTGTACTGTACTGTGTATTTTTGGCGTTTTGTATGTACATATAATGCCACACTTAAATTAAAAATTAATATATATATATATATATATATATATAATTTTAAATTTAAACGACCAAGGAGGTGCATGCATATTTTTACTTTTTATGATCCCTACACATAGGGATTATAACAGGTGTTACCTGTTGGCCTCAAGTTTTGGTCGATGCCACTGAAAGCTGTAAAAAAGTTAGTGGACCCTTGTGTTGAGATTAATTTGTCACACAACAGGTGTGTCCTGGCTGAGCTGGTGATTTCTTTCTATATTTGTTTTAAAAATTTAAATTTAGGAAACTTTCTAAAATATTATTTAAAAACTGGACTCCGGTATAATTTAGGAGTCTATGTGTAAATACCCACAGCCTAAACATTTACTATCCAGATGACAATACTGTTGATACATGAGGTATGAAAGGTCAATTGGAAACTCGTCTCAAATCTCTCGCTTGATGGTAAATTGTGTTCAGGTGTGCCAAGGTTAGTGAGCATTGCTGAAAGAGGTCTGCTCTAATGTCATCGGCCTCTCATCATACATTGTCAACAGGAAGATTACCACAATTGCTCTTTTGACTTGTGTAGCTCACCATCTTATCTGACTGGTATTTAGTCTGTGCCTTTTAGCAGGGCAATTAAGATAAAGCCCCCAGGACTTAAAAGATGAACAAGACACTTCAACATGTTTATCTCTTGGGTCACACAAAGAGAGACAACTTTTACTGTATCAAGTAAGCCAGATTTATTAAATGTAAATTCACTGTCTCAAGCACATTTATTGACTTGTTGTTGCATTTGAGGCTTAACAATTAGCTTAAATCAGACCAATTAAAGCTGTGAATTCAAAATCATGCAATAATTTCAATCACAATTTTAAGTGCCATACATTCAAATTGTCAGTTAATATTTACATTAGTGGAAATGTACCGGGTGGTAAGAGTTTGATTCCAACATAAATTTGAGGGGCCACAAGATGATTAAACAAACTTTTCTAAAACTTTTTTTGTGTGAAATTCTAGAAACAGTTATCATTCCAGGTTTCTAAAAATCCTTAAAATAAAATAATGTGAGAAAAAACAATCATTATTTTGTTGAGGTCATATCCACACTTTGACCACAACGTGTGATCAGGGGTCAGAAGCCTCATTTTAAGGGGTTTGTGACCCCTCAAAATTAAGCAAAAAAGGTTGGGAACACCTGTAATAGATGTCAGCAGTTGAATTATACAATAAAGCAAAAGTGGCATCACCAGCAGCAGCCAAACAGCGAAAAAACAGTTAATCAAAATGACCCCAAATATCTTACATACAGGCAAAAGTCCACGTTTACAGCATCAAAAAGTGACAAGCATAATGAGGAAGGTTACTTTTGAGTAATGTAATGTATTGGGGTAGAGGAGGAATTGATGCACTAACCTGCCTTCAGAAGATGGACATCTAGCACCTCAATAGTCTAACCTGGCAACCTCCACACAGCAGTGTCTCATCCGGCAGAGGACCATCCAGAGAGTGGAGGTGGTGGTGATGGAGGGAGTAAAACGAGGCAGCAGTGGAGGTGATAGTTGCTGAAGTGATGAAAAGAGATGAGGGTATGTAGAGGAGCAGGATGCCCAGATAGAAGAGCAACTCCTGTCTAAGTCCAGCTCCACAGGATTACCAGCAGAAGCAACAACAATCCAAAGGTTTGTGTTGGGTTTTTTAAATGGTGATGTCCTCAGGAGGAGAAAAGTGGAGATTAAAAAAGCACCTGTTGAAGCTGTGAAAGGAGCTTTGCCTAAAGAAGCAGGTGCAAACTTTACCTGGTATAGTGTTCAACTTAATCTGAGATCAGTGTTTGGGGAAAGGGGGTAGGTGGGAAGGAGAGGGAAGTTGAGGGGAGGGACAGCATAGGAATCTGAGGAAGAGAGGGAGTGGACACAGAGCAATATGTAAGAAGGGGAGAGGGGAGGTCAGAGATGTGGAAATGATGGAGGGAAGTGGAAAAACCAAAGAGAATTACTGCTTCCAGACATGTTTTAAATGCAGGAGAAAAGGAATGTTTCGTACAAAGGGAGGCTCTCATACGGGATGAGTGTCAAGCCTTTTGGGCAGGATCTGTCATTAACACCTGCAAAGGGCCAAATGATGATAAAATATGTCTTTGCTGGACAATTTGGAGGAAACACTGTGGCCTTTATCTTTTTGGAACAATGGTGTTTGACTACCAAGGTCTTATTAATGTTTAACTCAGCATCTGAAGCAACATTTAAAAATTATTTGTGATCATTTCTATGAATATGGACAATGCATTTTTCTCCCCTATTGAATTATTTCTATGCCTGACAAGTCCTTGGCAGGTGTAAATCAGGTTGACTTTAGACTCTACCTTTGGATTAGGCCTCAATTGTGGTAAAAACTTTGCCAGGGTTCACTCGGTGCAGTTTAAGCTTGGGGCACCTGGGCACACAAACTCACCAAAGTAGTACAGTCTCACTCTGGGGCATTTATGGACAAAAACCAGAAACACACACACAGTCTAAAACCTTGCTTTTCAAGCTCTGTGGTAGGTAGAGTTACAGAATTAACATGAGTCACTTTGGATACTCTGTGTACCCCCTTTTTTAATTACTAACAGCCTCATTTACAAGGTTATACAAGACACTTCATTTCCATAGATGCTGGAGAGATAGCAAAGGGAAATCTCAGGTGGATCCACACTGATAGGGTCTGGGAAGGAGAGGGCAGTCAGTTGGGTCTTTGTTGCAGGAGGACAGTGGAAGTAATTGGAGAGGTAGGGAGCAAGATGTGTGAAAGGCTCCAGGACTGAGGGCAGGCCCCGGGCTCCCATTAAGCAGAACCGAGGCTCTCTGCGGAGGCTTCTTTTATACCTCCCACGTCTTGTTGTGTAAATGGACACATACTTTTAACCAACCTGTGAAAGAGAACGTCCCACAAAGACGGACAAAAAAATCAACAGTTACAGATGACCTACTGGGCCAGGGGGGCTTCCAGATCCAGGGTTAGGTTTGTGTTTTGGGAAATGTCGAAGATGGAGAAGTGGGAAAGATCGAGATGGGCTGATACACCTGATTTCTTGCACTTACAATTCATTAGGAATAGAAAACATGATGATGATAACGCTCTTTTTTTTCCCTCTCTTAAAGCTGCACTAATCAATATTTGTAGATTAACAAAGCATAAAATACAGTATAATGGGGAACCTACAGAGAATTGTCACCTGATTCAGCAGTAAGAGAGAGTTTTAGTGTCTTTCAGCTCATCGTTTTATTTTTATGAGAAGTGAACTGTTTGGTTCAGTGTCACCCGTCCAATCATGACCATATCTGATAAACCTACTTTACGCTACCTGCCCAGCACGAAAGTTACCAACTAGCTGGTAAAGAAAGTGTAGCCTTTAGCAGCTGGATATTTTCCTCAGTACTTTGTCCAAAACAAAGCTAAAAGGAGCGTGAACATTGGACTTACATTTGTCAGGTAGCCAGAAATGTGACTCCAAATTAATGCTAATCATGCTTCATGTCTGCTGGATGTGTAAAGAAGCAATGTTCACCAATAATAACATCCTCAGTTATTAAAATCAATCTGCATTCTGACATCTTTGGCACGTTTTTAGTTTGAACATACATACTCAAAACGCAGTTAGAATATTATGTTGGATGGAAGTAAGTCTAAGAGTTTTTTTTGTTGTTGTTCATGGTGATGTCTGAAGGCCCACAAATTCTCAGTATGCTTCAAACAAAGTACTTGTTGGATTGCCTGTTAGGATCTGAAATACCCTTTCCAACAATGAAATGGGATGCGGAATAGACAATTTTTGAAACTTTCTCAAAAAAACAATTTACCAGTGATGTCCAATTTATGCAGCGATTTCCCAGGTGTGCAGAGGTGTAAAAGTAGGTAGGCAGTTTAAACTTCCTTTTCAAGCTGTCTTTGAATGGTAACTGTCTCAAGTCTACAAGCCATTGGGCTGAGACTACCAAAACACACAGAAGACAAAGGAGGACAAGGCTATGACCCCACCTTTGTGGGTGGCCTTTCTGGACACAGTTGCTTTTGGACTTGGTCGGGTGACTCATTGTCATTTGAGGCCCTGAATCATTCACATCATGGACGATGCAAACAGCTTGTAACAACACCTTTGATGCTGAACGATGCTGAAAGCAGAGATAGGAGCATCAGCATTGGAGTTCAACAAACTCCACTTAATGAAGATGCAGAGGGACATCAATGATGCTGCAGTATTCAAGAACTCAACTTGAAACAGAGTTGTGCCAAGGGCTTTGGTCCCTGGAGAAGTGTTGTCATACTGATTTTAGTAGTGCTATCCTCCTTAGTTAAAATTTGGAGTGGCTGAGAATATCAACGTGGCTTGAAATACTAGTAGGTGGTGCAGCTGTCTTCAGCTGTTTTTGAAGGCAGGAATCATTGAGGCTTGTTGCTGATCAACGTCCATAACAGGAAAAAAAATTCTTCATCACATCACCTTTAAGATTGTTTGGACAGAAATTGCATCAAAGGGTCTTATGCAGCAGGAGGGTACTGTGTGGGAACAGGGTCAAAGTATCCATCAAAATTTCTGGAGAATCCATCAAGCCTGACCTTCACAAAGAAGGTCCTGGACTGAATACCCACTAAGCTCTGTTCGGCAGTCACCTAATCCGTGGAGTGGGCCACTCTAATTCAACCCCTATGCCCAGCGGTTGGCTCTGCCCTGCCCTCCTCGCCTTCCTTTCCATTCACAATGGTGAACCTCCTTCCAGTAACCCAAACCTTCTTACCCCAATGACTCCTTCACCTCAGCACACAATAGGCCCTGTTCAGCCCTCCTGCCCTCAGTCCCACTTCATAATGCAATGGGGCAGATCGGGGGCAGATCAGAATACCAACTGCACTGCCAGGTCCTGTTTACACAACAAGGTGCTAGGTGTGATCTATACGATGCAGCCACATCCATCTCCCAACCTTAGTCTGACAATGCATTTGTGAGCATCTCCAAGCTCAGTGACAGCAGTTTGTTTACAGCCATGTTCTTGAAATGATGCATTGTTTGTGGAATTAAATTGGGTCTACATGGAAACTCAGTGACTTTTGAGGAATGGTCTCAGACCTCAATGGTCAAGAAAGTATATCGAGAAATTCAATATCCACTGTGGCCGATTTTCATAGAAAACACCACATACCAAAACAAGACATTGTTAACAATGGCAATGCTTACATGCTGTTGTTTCCCATGTTCACTATCTTAGACACTTGGTAATTAGCACTAAACACAAAGTGCAGGTGAGGTTAATTGGAATCTTGTTAGTTTTGCATATGCCAAAGTATTGGACAAATTAAATTATTCACTTGATGATAGTGCTAAATTAAATTTCAGTGGGCTACCATTCATCCAGTGGGGAACATGAGTTAATGGTGATCCATTCAATAATTGGTATATTTGTGCAATTTCACTCAAAATAAATCCTTAAGGTGATGCTAGTCAGGTTATCACCAAAGTCAATGGTATTCATCCATGTGGGAGCTGCCATGAAGAGGCGGGAATTGGGGCAGAAACCTCCAAAGGGAGATGTATTGAATACACTTTCTTTATACCTTCATTCCCAGTGAGATGAATGAGGAGATTTCATCTGCTTGTATTTCTTATGTTGTGAATATAATTTGAGTTTTCATGTATTTGATATCATGTGACTTTGTCTGTGCTTGTAGCTCCCTTTGTTGGAATGTACTTGTTGTGCCAGTTGTGATAACCTATAATTAATACCACTCTTGAAAACATCCGTGTGGCAAAATTAAAAAGTTGAATGAAAGTTTTGTTCTTGTCCTTTACTTTATGATTCATCCATGTGGACCATAGATGTCTGCACAAAAGTTAGGTCCTGATTCCTCTGATATTTCACTGGATAAGTAAAAACCTTGATGTGCTGGTGGAGCTGGACAAAAAGTCAGAAGATCACAAGAGTCATAAGGATTGATCCGTAATGAATATATGTATCAA